AGGCCTTTAACAAGCAGAACGGGAGCGAGAGGCTTTCTTTCTTCCTGACCTCCTGACACTCGCTTTCCCGCTATGTTTCCACCCTGAATAGGCCACAGATCGGCCATCTCTGGGGTGGTTCCATTTCAGATGGGTTGGACACAGTTACACTGGCTCCTGCCCCCTCTCTCCCCCACCCCACCCCTCGTGGCTCCTACTTTGGTGTGGTTCCATGGACACAAATCGCAGCACCCACGTCTGTTTGTTTGGTGTGTGACAGCCATGACCAGACAGTTCACACGGGCCCTTCAGAGCTCGAGGAACCCACTTGGTCTTCCCACAGGGGTAAGAGCCCTTCAGTCTCCCAGACACTAACACCCCCCCCCCCCCAGCAAATGAGCCAGTATTCTTCACTTTCCCAGATTACTCTGGGCTGATAGAGCCAGTCGCTCCTGATAAAATGACTTCATTATAAACCACTTCTCTTTCTCAAAGAAGAAATTCAAATGGCCAAAAGGCACATGGAAAAATGCTCTTCATAACTAATCATCAGGGAGATGCAGATCAAAACAACGAGATATCATCTCATATCATCTCACACCACAGAGGCTGGCACACATCCAAAAAAACAAAAGTAACCGGTGTTGGCATGGATGTGGGGGGAAAGGGAATCTCCTTCACTTTTGGTGGGAATGCAGACTGGTCCAGTCTTTTGGGAAAACAATATGGACGTTTCTCAAAAATCTAGAAATTGAGTTCCCATTTGGCCCAGCAATAGCACTTCTGGGAATATTCTCTGGGGCCCCAAAAACACACAGCAGAAACACCATCTGCACTCCTATGTTCACTGCAGCACTATTCACCATAGGCAGAATCTGGAAACAACCTGAGTACCCAAGAACAGACGAAAGGATAAAGAAACTCTGGCACATCTACACAATGGAATACTATGCAGCCGTCAGGAAAATGAAGTCATGAAATATGCCTATAAATGAATTGACATGGAGAGTATCATGTCAATGAGTGAAATGAGTCAGAGAGAGAGAGAGGGACAGGTATAGAATGACTGCACTCATTTGTGGGTTATAAAAAAATATATGTAGAACAATAATATCCATGGCCAGGGAAAATAGAGGTTAGGAGAACTGGTCAATGGTGGAACTAACCGCGAGTGTGTGGGGGGCTGAGGGTAGGTAATATAGAGAAGATACCGCTATGACAATAGTAGCTGGAAATGATCACAGTGAACAAGATCTGGGGGTTCAAAGTAGGTAAAGGGATATTCTTGATAACCTTTCAGTACCAATATTGCAAACCACAATGCCCAAAAGGAGAGAGAAAGACAGAGAGAGAGAGAGAGAGAGAGAGGGGAAAAGTGCCAGCCATAGAGCCAGGCAGAGGATGGGGAGTGGGGGTTGATGGGAGGGAACCTGGGGACACTGGTGCTAGGAAGTGTACACTGGTGGAGGGATGGGTGTTGGAATATTGTATGACTGAAATCCACTCATGAACAACTTTGTAATTGTCTGTATCACAGCGATTCAATAAAAAGGTTAAAAAAAAAAAAGCTTCTCTGGGGTCGGTCACATGTCTCTGTGCTTTCTGACTGCAGCATCAGGTGCTAAATTAACCGAGATGCTGGCTCCCCCTGGAGAGCATACTGATTTTAACATGGACTTTTGGGTAGGGTGGGGCGATTAGCATTTCAATTTAGGGGAAGTTTGAGGTTTCTTCTCTAAAAAAAATTTTTTTTGGTTAGTAATCCCTTTGGAAGAAATGATCATGCAAAGATAGATAATTATGTATATAAGGTTTAGGAGTAGGGAAAAAATAGTGATATGCTTGCTCTTTAGTTCTTAAAATGTGTGGGTATGAGGTTGTGCTTACTTTGTGCTTTAATTTTATGTGTGTGAAGGCGAATTAGTTTTATTTCAAGAAATTTACTTTAAGAAATGTGAAGCTGGGGCTGGAATGATAGCACAGTGGGTAGAGCATTTGCCTTGCATGCAGCCAACCCAGGTTTGATTCCCAGCATCCCATATGGTCCCCTGAGCACTGCCAGGAGTGGTTCCTGAGTGTAACCCCTGAGCATCACCAGATATGACCCAAAAAGCAAAAAGAAAAGAAAAGAAAAAGAAATGTGAAGGGAGAGAAGATGGAGAACACGGGTTTCTACAGAGTAGTAAAAAGCAGAGGATGGCTTTTGGAAGAAGCATTGCAGGTGGGTTGGCAAAGTGGAGAACGAGGAGGTAGACTCAAGGAAAGACTGCTCCCACATCTTTGTTTGACTTGTCTCATCCACCTGGGAGGATGGCCTGACTTGGGACAGGTGTGGCAGAGTCTGCTGTGAGCATCTACACGAATGGTACAGATGCCCGTGCCCCACCGGCCCCACATGGCAGCTGTCAAAACGCACCTGAAACCCATTTCTTCTTCCATGCCAATGGTTACTCAGCGAGCAATCACGGGGACTCCAGCAGAGGGAGGAATTGCTCTTTGCAGGATAGGAAAGTCAGCCCAACCTCTGACCCAACTGCTAGGAAGAGGCAAACGTATCCAGAACTAGGAATTATTCAATGTCCAGTCTCCAAAATTAAGAGGATACTAACTTTACGGTGTTTTGACTTGAGAGTAAAATGTTTTCCTGAACTAAAGTATCAACAAAATTATTTATTCTTCTAATCTCATTTTTTATTTCTTGGCATTTTTACTTCGTGTCAATGGCTTGCCTTTACCGTTTAAAACTAGACTCTGAAATCTGTCGCAACTGTGTAGGTGTAACATTTGGTCCACTGCCTGATTAATTAATTCCCCCAGAGCAGCCTTTATTTGTCCAGCACATGCTTTCACAGGCATGAGCTGGACAAAGCTCGTGAAAGCAAAGCTGTCCCTTTAGGAACCAAGTATCGACTATGACAGAAAAGAGCAAGAGTGAAGACATGACTACGGCTCAGGGCAAGAACCCTCTGCTTCCACGAGGGTAGCCGCTCCCGGACCTTGTATTATGTGAAAATCCCATTGCAGGAGAATTTGCAAGAACCAAAGGTTTTTACTATTATTATTTGGGGGGGGGGGTCACACCCAGCAATACTCCTGGCTTGTGCACTCGGGAATGACTCTTGATACAGCTCGGGGGACCATACGGGATGCTGGGAATCAAACCCAGGTTGGCCGCGTGCAAGGCAAACCCCCTACCTGCTATGCTATTGCTCCAGCCCCAGAACCAAAAGTCTTCAATACTTACTTTTCAGGCGCATTTTGGCAGCTGCCCTGTGGAGCTGGTGGGACATGGTGTCCATGTCCATAAAGACTTTATGAAAGCATGCCCTGAATACCGAGCTCACCAAGAAATAAGCCATGTGATCCCAAATGAGGAACATGGCAGCAATACTCGATGCAACTTGAATTTGCACCACTGGGCACCGCACAGCTATTTTCCATTTCTAGACTCTGCGGTTCCCCTCCTCTGCAACATCGTTTATGAAGGTGGTGCTTCCTTGCCATAATGAGCACATTTTCCTTCCATTTCTCCGTTCCTCTGTTTAACCCCTTTCTGACTTTATGATCTCTCTCTGAACTCCACCTCGGCCCTGGTTTCAGATCCTCAGCTGCAGGAAGCTTGCAGGGAGTTGTTGGGGTCTGTTTACTTCCCAGACCAGAGCAGCTTGATTCTCAAGCCTCAGAGTCGAGGGTCACTTCGTGCTGGATCTGGCTACTGCAGACCCCCCCCCCACCCCGCATATATGCCAGCAGCAAATCCTACACCAGGCCTGGCCCCTGCCCTGTAAACCTGACTGAAATGGAAGCAAAAGGCGGGTTGCCATGCCTTGTCTTTCTCTATCCTGCAGACATCCTGCAGAAAACCTCAACTCTTTTGCTAATCACCTGCCTCCTCTTTGCAGTCCACAAGCCCTGCACTGTTTTAAAAGAAAAATGAAAGGGTGGAGTGATAACACAGTGGGCAGGGCATCTACCTTGCACGTGGCAGACCCAGGTTCAATTCCCAGCATCCCATATGGTCCCCTGAGCACTGCCAGGAGTAATTCCTGAGTGCAAAGCCAGGAGTAACCCCTGAGCATCACCAGGTGTGACCCAAAAAGCAAAAATAAATAAAGGTATTCTTTAAAAAATGGCTAATGTTACAAATAATTTTTTTATTGTAGAAAAAAATGGACTTACCTGTTACTTTGCACTGGAGGTTTGCATTGGTTTGAATTGCCACATCCAAATCCCAAACCCGAGAAGCCTTTTCCACTGACCCTTAGTGGAATCATATGGGTAATGGTCTTGAAACAGGCTCTGTTGGCACAGAGAGGCTGGTGGGTCCGTGGCAATGGGAGGAGCCCAGAAGTTCAAGAAAGTGGGGGTGTGGGCATAAGCCAGCTCCAGGGGCTCACCATGTCTCAGGCCCCTGAAGAAGCCCAGGCTCCTCCATGGACCGTGATGGACTCAGGAGTCCCAGGAGAGCAGCCATCACCACCATGGAGCACCGGCCAGGGCCAGTCCAGGCAGCCCAGCCCCGGGCTCCAAGCCGGGCCCACAAGCTGCCCTTCGTGCCCAGCACAGTGACCCGCGGGAGGGCCTGGCCTGAGTGGAGCTACTCCTAAGGCTGAGGCTCCCCCGCCGCCCCATCTCTTTAGGGGTGTGTGTTGTGGGGGGAGGGGGGAGGGGGTGGCTCTATCGGAGGTGCTCAGGGGAGAGTCTCATGGCTCTGCAGAGCTGACACCCAGCTGACTGCAGTATTTCTGCAGCTTGGGGTTGGAGAGGAAAAGGAGGTGGGAGTCAGGGTCCTTACAGCCATGCGGGCACAGGTTCTCACCCACACCAGGTGGCAGAGGGCACCAGAGTTTGTGCTGGAGGAGGCAGGGTTAGGTGTGCACCCCAGGAAGTCCGCCCTGCACACACACACACACACACACACACACACACACACACGAGCCACAAGGGCTGCCCATGGCGAGTCTCCCCACCGTTACACACGCAACACCTTGGAAATGACCACCCCGGCTTGCTTCCTCCAGGTCCTCAGGGCTGTTTCACGTCATGAAGCACAATCACTACAGCTGCCGCTTTGGCAGCAAGCTGGGGCTGCAATGCATCGGCATGCATGAGAACGGAGTCATCTTCAACAACAACCCGGCCCTCTGGAAGGCCGTGCGGCCGTACTTCAACAAGGGTGAGCAGGCGCCACCCTCTCTTGCCCCCTCGGTCACTTCTTCAACCCTGGGCGGCTTCCCCCACTGCCAAATACCGCGTGCCCACGCCCGCTCTATGTCCGCCCCCCCCCCCCGGCACCCCTGGGCCCTGTTCTGAGCACTTGGCATTTCTGAAGTCCTTGATAGAATCTGATGTTACTTGATGTAGTTTGCTGGGGCTTGGGAGTCACACCTGTCGCCACTCAGGGCTGGTTCCTGGCTCTGTGCTCAGGGATCATTCCTGGCAGGGCTGGGGGACCATATAGGACGCCGGGAATGGAGCCAGGACTGGCCGTGTGCAAGGAAGCTCCTGATTCTCTCCCTATACCCTCTCCCTGGCCTCACAGTAAGCACTTACTAGTTTAACCCACCGCAACCCCGCGTGGTAAACACCTGGATCACCTGCATTTTATAGGCAGGAGACTGGAGGCATACGGGGCTGGGGGGATGAGTCACTTGCCTGAGTTCCAACATTGTAAATGCTGGTCCAGGGAGCAATCCAGGGGTGGGGACAGGGAAGGGGGCCACATTTCTAGCCACAAACTCTGTTCTTGCCAGTGAGACTCACAGCAACATCAAGGGCAGTCAGAGATGGGGGAAACGGCAGAGGGCGTTTTCCACTGAGAACAGGAGCAGTGAGTGGCTGATGCCTCAGACGTTGGAACAAAGCAACTCCTCCATCTCTGGCAGAGAAGCAGAGGGCTGCAGAGTGTGGCAAGGCTGGCTAGGCCATGTCACTGGCAGCTTTTGAGAGGTGAGGAACTGCAGAGAGGCAGCAACGATAAGGACCAGCTAAGAGCTGATGCAGCCTGGTGACACCCAGGCCAGGCCAAGCCAATCCAGCCTCGACTCCAGCCCATCTGTGAGGCACACCAGGACCACACACCATTACTCTCCTCCATTCCTCAGTCAGCTACATTCTGAAACTCACTGCCTCCCGCCCCCACCCCATGAAGCCTGATGGCTGGCTGCCGAGACAAGGGAAGAACAAGCCTAGCCACTCTGCTCTCTCACACGTGTCCCATCGCTGCTGTCCAAGAAAAGGGACACAGCCCCAGTGACGCCCAGCATTCGGAGGTCCCCTGACAGCTCCAAAGGTCAGAAAGCCCATTGGGAGTCGCAGTGCTCTAACACTGGGGGATGGGGGGTTGCTGTTTTGCTACCTCACTTCTGGGGACTGCAGGGGAGAATGGGTTCCCTTCCTATCTTTCAGGCTTCTAGAAGCCACCCAGGACTGGAGCAATAGTTCAGCAGGGAGGGCGTTTGCCTTGCACATGGCCGACCCTGGTTTGATTCCCAGTATCTATCTCATGGTCTCCTGAGCACCACCAGGAGTGATTTCTGAGTGCAGAGTCAGGAGTAACCCCTGAGCATTGCCAGGTGTGACCCAAAAAGCAAAAAAAAAAAAAAAAAAGAAACAAGAAATCACCCACATTCCTTGGTCCAATCCCTTTCTATGATACTACACCCTGCTCATATGTGTAAAACGTGGCTTCAGGCTAGATGAGTTAGAGCCAATCCCTAGAGACATCAGCCTGGACACTGTTCAGCCAGGCCTCTGCACAAAGGGTTGAGCCTTTAGGATGCGTCTGTTGGACTTGCGGATGTGGAACTTATGGGGGTAAGAGGGTATTATCCTGGTCTTTCAGACTGGCTGGATCTTTCCTACAGTCAGAGAATTTGCCACCAGCCCAGGCCTGCATCATCATCATCATTATTATTACTATTATCATTATTATTAATATCATTAGTTTGGTTTGGGGCCTCACCTGGCAGTGCTCTGCTTTGTCCTGGGGCCACCTGTGGTCCCCAGGTTCAACACCAGCACAGGAATGTGGTCCAGTCCTCAGAGGCATCTCCCTGACCTTCCCCACCCCCACCTTTTATGTCAGTAAAAATCTTCAGATTTCTGCTTATCGCTCACTAGGCTCTCTTTCTTATTTGCAAAGTCTGCCTTCAAGAGGTTCTCTTGCATGTCTGGGATACTGGCTTTACCAGCAAGTCTGAATAACTAAACAATACAAGAAAAAAGAAAGAAGAGTGAGCAAGTGAGAGAGAGAGAGAGAGAGAGAGAGAGAGAGAGAGAGAGAACAGTGGTTGAGCTAGTTCTATTGAGGCACCCCATATCCCCCCCCCCCCCCCCACCGAGTACTGCCAGAAGGAATCCCAAAGCAATAGAGCCAGGAGTAAGTCCGTGTACAGTCAGTTGTGTCCTGCCAAAAATGAACGACGGGGGGGGGGGGGGGGGAGTGGGGGTGGAGAAGGAAGGAAGAGAGGAAGGAAGGGAGACGGAGGAAGAGAGGGACAGGGAGGAAAAGAGAGGTCGTGCTCAAAGGAAGTTAAAGGAACTCTTATGTTAGACTCTTCCTATCTTCATGACCCACTGGGTGCTCAGACGGGGAGGTTTGATGGACTAAAGGAGGCTAATAGGCAGTGGCCAGTGCCCTCCCGAACTCTCAGTCCAGTGGGAAAGAATCACTTAGTGGCCAGAGAGATGGGCGAGAGGATATGGGCACTTGCTCAGCACGAGGTCAACCCGGATTTGATGCCCAGCTCAGCATCCGTGCCCCAAACACCACCAGAGCAGAGATCCCCGAGCAGAGATGGGAGTGAGCGAGCCCTGAGCCTTTCCAAGCGGGGGCCCCCAAACAAAACCAAAATCACGAGTTCTTATGATGTGAGGTGGGTGGAAAGAATCAACGTAGTGTGTGGAGAGACTGAAATGGAGAGACACCAACAGGACTCACATTTCAGACTCAAAATTTGACACCAGGAAGCAGCTCGGGCTCCCAGCGCCCAGGTCCCATTTTGGGACTTAGTAATGCAGCAGCACCCACACCACCTGTTGAAACCAAACCATCCTCTGACCAAACCGAGACCCTCAGACAAGTCTCAATAAATAAATAAATAAATAACCAACCAACCCACCAGCCAGCACAAGCAGTTTCATTTTCAGTCCCACTCAGGGCTGGCCCTAGCCGGAACAGCCCACCCTACAGAATCTGGAATAAGATGCGTAAGCTTCACCACGAGTCACACAGGTGAGACGGCGCCCGCAAACAAATTAGGAGACAGCAGCCAATCGTGAAGCTAGACAGGAAGCCGTGGACAGTCCGGCCGCCCTCTGCCAGCCAGGCCCACCCCCCACCCCACCACCCCCACCCCCGCCACCCCACCGGTCTCTGTGCGTCTCGGTACTCACCCCCTTTTCTCTCCGGGCCGTGCGCGCCCACAGCGCTGTCTGGACCCGGCCTGGTGCGCATGGTGACCATCTGCGCCAGCTCCCTCCGCACGCACCTGGACCGGCTGGAGGAGGTCACCAGCGAGTCGGGCTACGTGGACGTGCTGACGCTCATGCGACGCATCATGCTGGACGCCTCGAACGTGCTGTTCCTGGGGATCCCCTTGGATGGTAACTGCATCTTCCTTCTCGAGCCCTTCCTGGAACACGGAGTAGGCGGGCATGGAGACAGGGGATTCAGGAACCATCTACGGTTGCCAGGGCACTGATCTGCCTCCCCCCTCCCCCCCCCCCCACATTCAGGGCCACGCCCGACCACACTCCAGAGACCCTGAGTATTGAGGATGGGGTCCTTCGGGGCTGTGTGTGTGTCTCTAGCCATCTTTCTAGCCCCTGCACACTGCCCCTGTTCAACATCTCCAAGTATTCCTAAGATATTTGTCTCCTGATGTGTTGATTTTCCACCATTCTTAAGACCATCTTCTATTTCTTTCCCGCCTCTCCTCATGGCTCCCAGGAAATAGGAGCTTATCCATGGGGGAAACTGTCCACCAAAGCCAAACTGGCATATTTAACCATTTCAAGCCACACTTTTGACCGTAGCTTTGAAGTTGAAGGAGGCCAAAAAAACAGGCTCTTAATCACTGTAGCAAACCAACTGACCCTGACCTCAGTGTCTACCTACAGATACAGTTCGATGTAACACACGTACATAAACAACATACGTACACCTACAGAAATACACATATATATATACTCTCCCTCGAAAACCTCTGATTCTATGCAATGATACTGGTGCAGCTGCTCAAAATAATACCATTAATTTGGTATCTATTGTATAATTTTTCTACTGTCCTGGGCAGTAGAAAAAGTTGTTTTCACAAATAGCATTTGCATATAACTTAGCATTTGAAAACACCCTAACAAGATGTTGCTCCAAAAAAGCTACTTTCTGGCGCTGGATAGTACAGTTGGGGAGTGCGAGTATATTTGCCTTGCACACGGCCAACCTAAGTTCTATCCCCAGCATCCCGTATGGTCCCTGACTACCACCAGAAGTAAGCCCTGAGCATCATCGGGTATGGACAATCCCCACACCTTCCCACCCAAAAGCTGCTGCTTTCTTCATTATACTGCAGAATGAATATTATGACACATTCACGCAGCCCTGCTGACACCCAAATCCGAATATTGGTGATCTGGATGATTCTATTCTTGATATCAATACCACACCCAAATTCATGTAATTTCTCCTGAAGTAATTTATACTATACCAGCATGTATTGATTTGTACTCATTCAACAAACATTGATTTGTTTTATTTGATGCCAGCCATGCTCCGAGGTCCCGAGGTTTACTAGAGCAGTGAACAAGATAGTAAAATTTTTGGTTCCAAGGAATTCCTTACAGTTTCTCTCAATAGTACAGTGGGTAGGGTGTTTGCCTTGCATGCGGTCAACCAGATTCGATTCCTCCATCCCTCTCGGAGAGCCCAGCAAGCTACCAAGAGTATCCTGCCTGCACAGCAGAGTCTGGCAAGCTACCTGTGACATATTCGATATGCCAAAAACAGTAACAAGTCTCACAATTTGTTGTGAGATGTTACTGGTACCCGCTCGAGCAAATTGATAAACAACAGGAGGAGAGTGCTACAGTGCTACATTCTCCAGGGGACAATAGAGAGAAAATGACCCCAGGTCTAGTCATTAGGAGGGAATGGTAGTCTTCAGGAGGGAACAGCGAGTGTCCTGAGGGGAAAATAAAGCAGGGCCCAAGGATGGTGAGTGAGGGGGAGGTGGGTGTTTTTGGAGGGTCACACCTGGAGGAGCCCGGGGCTTACTCCTGGCTCTACACTCAGGAATCACTCCTGGCGTGTTGTCTATTGGGGTGAGAATTCATGCTAGACTGACAGTTTAATTCGCAAAGGGGGAAGCAGAGGTTCTCTTACCCCTAGTATTGTACTTCATCAAAGCGTAGTTGTTCAGGGCTGACTATGCATGAGGGCCTGACACTGAAAACACTAAGATGAGCATTATACTCTGCACGTGCTGCATATAAGCAACACGAAAGCTGTGCCGTGGGGGCTGGGAAGGAACGCAGGAACATAGAACATTGCGTTGTGAAGACAAAGAAATGCTCTTAACTCAGTGTGCCATCCATGCCGGCATGTGCCATGCCGCTTGCCCCACACCAAATGGAGTTGAAATGTGCCTGTTGGCTGCCTAACAGGAGAGAGGTTGGGCTTTCCGCTGTCTCCACTGCTTGAGGGAAGGGCACCACAGAGCCCCCAAGCACCTCTCCCACCCCACTCCCATCCCCCATTGTCCAGAACAAAACAGGAAGGGGTCAGAGACTGCCAAAGAAGGACCTGGAACACTAGGCTGAGTGTCCAACAGAAATGAGTGAACCCTGTGGATCTCTGGTTTAGTCAAATCAGAAGCCAAGCAGAACAAATAAGTGCTTGATTTGTCTATCAGTGTTGGTAGGGGTACAAATACCCCGCTGCGGCTGGAAATGCGCCTGACCAAGAACACCAGCTTGGAGAACTGAGAGGGGATGTTCTTTGCACCAAGTGACCCTTCTCAGAGTTCCTACGTTCGCTCAACTCGCTGCTCTTCTGTGTGTCTGTTTCTGCAGAAAGCGCCTTCGTGGTTAAAATCCAGGGCTATTTCAATGCGTGGCAAGCGCTCCTTCTCAAACCAGACATCTTCTTTAAGATCTCTTGGCTTTACAAGAAGTATGAGAAGTCTGTGTAAGTAACACACAGCTGGGAAGTTTATCACCAAGATTGGATGTTTGTTGTTGCTGTTGTTGTTTTTATTTTACCTTTGCTATGCTTGGCCTTTTTCTGCAAAATTTTCTGCTCTCCTGACCCCAGAGGAGGGAGTGGGGGGGGGGGGGGGCTGAGCTGCTGCTGCAACTGTTCTCATAGCAGTGGGGCTGCCTGTGGCCAGACAGGAGAGCTTTGGGCTAGTCCAGCCTCCCGCTGAGCAGGGCGAGTGTGTGTGTGTTCTAAGACCTGGTTTCCGGAGCCAGGACCTTGGCCCATGTGGGAGCTGAAGGGAAGGGTTGGCTCAGCATCTCTGTCAAAATGTTCTTGGCCTGCCCGCAAATTTGGAAACACTGAATTCTTTCACACTTGCGCTGATTCTGAGAAAAAACGTTCAAAATGATTCGGCTTGTAGAGACTGACGGCGGCTGCCTCAGAGGAATGTTTTTATAATGAACCTGGGTCATAATGAACCTAATTTTTCTTTAGTTGTATGACTTTTAAGTGCTGTGCTTTACAATACTGTTATTAGTCAAGTACAGCATTCCAACACCACACTCTCCACAGAGTGCCCACTTCCCTCCTACACCGTGGTCCTAGTACGCCACTCAACTGCCCACTCCCTTGAACACACACACACACACACACACACACACACACACACACACACACACACACATACCAGCTCTGCTTTGGAGCATTTGTTATTTCCCTACTACGTTTCTTTATATCCTACATATGAGAGAGATCATTCTGTGTCTGTGTATGTTCCTCTTCTTCTGACTGACTCCACTCAGCATGATTCTCTCTAATAGAATGAATCTAGTTTCAATTAAATTGTGATCTATAATAAAGTAACATAATGGAAGACTAACACCCAAGAATAGTAGAGATAAGGGCCAAAAGGATCGCTCCATGGCTTGGAAGCTAGCCTCACATGCTGGGGGGGAAGACAGCTAGGATAGAGAAGGGACCACTAAATGAATGATGCTTGGAGGGCTTGCTCAGAATGGGAGATGCATGCTGAAAGAAGACTATAGACCAAACATGATGTCCACTTACTACTGGTATAACATCCAAAAGGAGAGAGAGAGAGTAAAAGGAAATGTGCCTGCTACAGAGGTGGGGGGAGTGGGGGATGGGGGGTGGCAGGAGGGATACTGGGAACATTGGTGGTGGAGAATGGGCACTGGTGGAGGGATGGGTACTCGATCATTGTGTGACTGAAATGTAATCAAGAAAATTGGTAAGTCTGTATCTCATGATGACTCATAAAAAAAAAGAATGAAAGAAAATAAATTGTGATATATAGATGTGTCTCGGAGAGCCCGGCAAGCTACCGAGAGTATTAGATATGCCAGACACAGTAACAACAAAGTCTCCAATGGAGACGTTACTGGGCCCGCTCGAGCAAATCGACGATCAACGGGAGGGCCTTTACCTTTACCTTTTATATAGATGTGTACCTAGATATATCAAGGTGTTCTCTATGAATTCAGAGGCCGGGGATATTTTAAAACCTCCTGGACCATTGGGGGCAGTTGGCCAGGTGTCAACGCAGAAGCATTCAGAATGTTCCAGTGGAGGAGATGGTTGGTAGGAGTGATGATGAGGCTCCATGAACAGCGCCCTAAATATAGAGGCGAAGGTGGGGGTGCCCGACGAACCCCCGCAGTCAGTGGGGTTGGGTAGTGAATGGGTGAACACAGACACTGCTGGTGTGTGTTGGAGGCATGTGAGGGTGTGGGCATCTCAGAGACATGGGTGATGCCCCTCAGTTAGAGAGAATTGGTTCCCATACAGTCTAAAGAGTACCTCTCAAATGTGTAACTCTCAATCTAGTTCTCTAAAGAAACTTAAAAAATTGTCCCTTACTTTTCCAGTTAAGCTGGGGTAATCACAAAAGACTATTTTTATCAGCATCAAAAGGGCTATAAGTGACCATTAAGAGGGCTGTAAGGCTGTCAGTCTGTAAGTGATCATTCGAAAAGGAGGAGAGGGACAACTGTTCACTAATGCAAGACAGAATAATGTCTTCCTAAGATTGGGTGAACAACCCACTCACACATTAATGTATTCACGAACAGGCAAAGGTGAGACTAACCGTATTTAAATCTCAAGGTGTGGTCTTAGTGTTCATCAATTCTCGTCCTTTCATTTGACTTTTCTCTTGGTTTCTGTTTCATTTTGTGTAGTTTCGGGGCCATACCCGGCAGTGCTCAGGGCTTACTTTTTGCTCTGTGGTCAGAGATTACTCCTGATGGGCTCAGGGGGCCATACATGGTGCTGGGGATCAAACCTGGGTCGACCACGTGCAAGACAAGTGCCCTCCCTGTTGTGCTATCGCTCTGGCCCTGATCCTTTTATTTGAAAAGAGACATAAGGTTCAGAGATTGAAAGAAGGTTATGGTGAGTGGGAGCCCAGAGCACAATACAACCCCCTTGGCTACATCCTCAAAACGTGTTTACAAAAACACATTTATGGAGCCAGTTATGCAACCCATGCTTACTCGGTGTTTACAGTGTGGAAGAAACTATAGCATGTCAGAATAAATATTAAAAATAAAACTTACTTTGAGTTAGTGTCCAGAATGAGAGTGCAGGTTAGTCCAGAGAGAATGGGTGGGTGATCAGACAGCCCAGTTCCCCTGAATCCCACTGAAGTCCTTCACTCACTTTTTAAAGATTAAAATGCTATGACGGTCAAGCAAATTAAATTTTCGCTTTATGCTGTCCCTTTCTTTTCTTTTTTCTTTGTGGTGCTGGGGATCAAACCTAGGGACTCACACAGGCAAGGTGATGTACTCCACCACTGAATCACATCACCGGCCCTGACGATTTTAGCTCTGTAGTATTAGTTTTATTATTTGGGGCAGGGGACACTCAAACTCAGGTCAACTGAGCATAAGGAAAGTGTACTTGCCCACTGTACTATCTCTCCAGTCCCTTGATACTAGTTTTTAAACTTTTAAAGAGATTGCATTGCTTATTTTTCTCCCTGTACCTAGAAAGCTAACTCCAGTTTATTTTTCTTTTAGGGAGTATGGGGTGGGGGGGCATACCCAGCGGTGATCAGGGCTTACTCCTGGCTCTGTGCTCAAGGACCACTCCTAGTGGAGCTCAGGGGACCAAAGGGGACTGGTGATCAAACTGAGGTCAGCCACATGCAAGACAAATTGCCCAACTGCTGTATGATCTCCCCAGTCCCAGATAACTCGTTTCTTAATATGAAGTATATTTTATATGTGGTTTAAGGATATTTATAAACAAAATGTAAGTTCTTTTGCTTGTATTTAATGACTTAAGTCAAAACTGATCATTTTAAACATTTAAATGATACATAATCCATTTTCCTAGATGTCTTAAATAAATATTGATAATTTTTTTCCTTTTCCAGCAAGGATTTGAAAGATGCGCTAGAAATCCTGATTGAAGAAAAAAGGCAGAGGATTTCCACAGCTGAGAAACTGGAAGACTGCAGAGATTTTGCCACTGAGCTGATTTTTGCTGAGGTATTTTTTTTTCTTTTGGATTGTATTTTTTTTTGGTATTTTTTTTAATGTAGGAGTATGTGATTTATTCAGCCATTGATTAAGATGATTGACATGGTCACAAACTCCACTACTTTAAAAAAAATTTTTATTGAATATCTGTGAGTAGACCATTACAAAGTTGTTCATAATTGGGTTTCAGTCATACAATGACCCAGCACCCATCCTTCCACAAGTGTCCATGTCCCACCAACCTGTGTCCCCTATTTCCCTTCTATCATCCCCCAACACTCCACCCCTTGCCCCCAGTCTCCCTCTATGGGAGTCACTTTCCTTATTTATCTTACTCCTTTTCCCTTTGTATATTATGGTTTGCAATACAAGTGTTAAGAGGTCGTGGTGTTTTTTCAGGGCATTCAGTATTTTTATCGGGACAGTAGGCTGGAGTAGCTTTTTAACTGGGTGGCAGCTTTAGGGTATGGATGTGAGGCTTCCAGAAGTACAGGGAGGTAGGGGGAGGTAGCCCATCCTGACCCCCAAGAAAGCCTGGAGTTTCCAATCACAGAGCCCACATACCAGAATTTTCAGCAGATTCAAAGAGGTCTTTCCTGAGACGGTGAAGTCAGGCTGGGGGTATGGCAGCAATTTTGGATTGTGGGAGCAAGCAGCTGCCAAGGGCTCTGTATGGGCAGGCATCGGGCTGACCCGCCCCCTCCGATTTACCCCGTCTGTTCAGCCTTGTGCTGGTCCGAGATTAACTGTGGCTTTTGAGATTTATTAATGGGTCTCCGAAGTTTTGCTGAGGTATTGACTGTGACCCGGCTTCTTAATTCCCACATAACATGTATGACTTTGTGTTCCAGCACGGAAAGATTCCCTCTTCAAATAGTGGTGTATTTCTGTACTTAAGCCTTTTTTTCCCTCTACTATTTCTATAATGCCTACCCAAGCAGCCCACACATTAGACATTTCTGTAAGACTGACCACTCAGACTGAAACTCCGCTGTCTACTTAACAGAAACTCTGAAACTCAAGGGATTCCCAAATATCCTAACTATTTAGAAAAGTTATACTGTTCACACTTTGAGCTAAGAACTAGCAAGAGAAATGTCCACCTTCGGTTTCAGATAAGTGTCAACTGTGACATTCTTTTGTTTGACGTTGTTGATTCTTTCTTAACATTTTGACTTGCTTTTCCATTCCCTATCTGCCCCCTCTCCCCCCACACCGGACTGTTCAGAAACGGGGTGACGTGACACGAGAGAATGTGAACCAGTGCATCCTGGAGATTATGATTGCGGCCCCGGACACCATGTCTGTCACTCTGTTCTTCATGCTTTTCCTCATCACAGAGCACAGGCAGGTCGAGGAGGCAATAATGAAGGAAATCAAGACTGTGGTTGGTAAGACTTGGTCAAGAAGTAAGAGGGCTCTGAAGACACTTCCTGTTGTCAACCAAGGTCCTAGGAATCTAATGCTTGATAATGTCTTCATACTCAGAACAATCAAACAACCCTTCCCATAACTCATTAATTATATCAAGTTGGCTGAAAGTTTTGGGTTTTAAAATGATTCTTCCTTAAAAAGTTCTTTTAAAAAAATAATAAAAGCAATGGGTTGAAGCAATAGGATAGGAAGTGGGGCACTTTCTTTGCATATGGTTGACCCAGGATTCTAGCCACAGTACCCCACATGGTACCCAGATTCTGCCATGAATTATGAGAACCGCCGGGTGTGGCCCCCAAATTAAAATAAAACCATCAAACAGACAGGTCAAAAGCAGAAAATTATGTTCTCCAATTCTTCCCACTCTCCTCGCTCACCTCCTTCTTATCCCTCTGGGGAACCACTGTACAGTGTTTGCTCTGTTCTACAAGGTCTTTATGTGCACAGAAACTCAGATACACAGCTGTGTTTAATTTAGTTTTTTGTGTTTTTTTTTTTTTCGGAGGGCAACACCCAGCAGTGCTCAAAGCTAACTCCTGGCTCTGTACTCAGGGATCACTCCTGGAGGTGCTCAGAGGACTATATATGGTACCAGAGATTGAATGTGGGTTGACCACATGCAAGTCAAGAGCCTTATCTGCTGCACTATCTCTTTGTCTCTCCAGCCCTGTTGTCTGCTTTAAAATAAAAAAAAAGTATATTCAGATACAATGTCCTGCCCACCTCTGCAGCACCAAAAGGGCTTGGATGTGTCTTCCCAGAGATTGAGGGTTCTCATGTACAGTGGACAGTTTTCCTCTCCCTGGCCCTTTCTTCTCCCTGCCTTCCCATTCTCTACAGGACAGCCCCCAAGTACCCTCTTAACTCTGCCTTTAGTTGTCTTCCCCATCATTTCCCCACCCTAGCCAAACACTTCCTCCCTCCCACAGAGTGCGCTTTGAGTTCACTAAGTGCCACATGTGAGAAACAGGGTTCTGCGAGCCCTCTGACAAGATACACCCTTTCCAGAATGGCTCATATGTGCAGAAGACAGGTACCTCCTTGCCTCGGTACCCTAGACACCAAGTGCTAGGGATCTGAGGATGTTCTGAAGCTTCACCAATTCTAGGAGTAACCTGTGACTCATCCAGTATTGGTACGGTCTGAGACAGGAGCACCCATCCATCCCAGCCAGAGACAAAACACAATTTCAGCCCATCCTGGTCATATGGGGCTACAGATCCAGTGTTATCAGTTTCTTATGCTTTTTTTTTCTAGAAATCCAGACTTTCTGATGAAAAATGGCCCCAGGTTTTGAGACATTTGGCTTCAAAACTGAATTCTGATCAATCGTTGGACTAGAGATGCTTGACGAGTTATGTCCCTGTCAAGTATACATTTTAGATGTGCAAGTTTGCCTCTTAGATGAACATATGTTTCAACCAAGAGTAGACTCTTTGGTGGAAACTATAGGCATTTTAGTGCCCATCTCACATTAAAACTAGCATTTCCTTATGTATCCTTTTTTATCTGCTCCCACAGGTGAAAGAGATATAAGGATTGACGATCTACAGAAACTGAAAGTGGTGGAAAGCTTTATTTATGAGAGCATGCGCTACCAACCCGTGGTGGACATGGTCATGCGCAGAGCATTACAGGACGATGTCATCGACGGCTACCCCGTGAAAAAGGGGACAAACATTATCCTGAATATCGGAAGAATGCATAGACTTGAGTTTTTCCCCAAGCCCAATGAATTTACTCTTGAAAACTTTGCACAGAATGTAAGAGCCCTTCCTTTCTCTCCCCCACCTCACCAAACAATTCTTCTATTTATTTATTTATTTATTTTTGCTTTTATTTATTTATTTTATAAAACCATCATGATATACAGTCAATGATCTAACACCCTTCCCTCCACCAGTGTCCATTTTCTACATTTTCAATGTCCCCAATCTCCCTCCCGCCACCTCCTCCCCACTCCACCCTCTGCCTCTGTGGCAGACACTTTCCTTCTTATTCTCTCTCTACTTTTGAAGATCCCTTCCTTAAAAACCATGTGCCACTCTTGAAAGTGTCATTCATGAAGATTCTCTAGGTTTGTTTGCACCATGTACATTTTTTGTCTAACATGCATCCCTCTACCCTCACACAGCTTCTCAGCCCTCTGGCCCCCCCACTGGAAATAGGATTACCATATTGGTCCTCAAGTCAAGAAAGCTGGCTCTCCTAGCCTGGGAGGTAGCTACCTTGTACCTTTGACCATACCTCAGGTCAAAATGTGCAAAATCAAGGTTCTTAATCACACTGAATTGGTGCAAATTTTGTTTAACCCAACCAATCTACTTTGATGACAAATTTACCGTTTTTCATCATTTATCTAGCACCACCTAAGCAAACTCTACTTTTGCTTCATGTGGAGAGACCCAAAAGAGTGACCCAAAATTTGAAAAAAAAATTGTCTGCAATTCCCCAATTGTTCCCCCCACACACTAATTTCCATTCTACATAGGTCACATGATTAGAACAGCTTCCACTTTTCCTTGTCCTGTCACTGACGCATACTGAAACTATTCCCATTGTGTCAAATAAGCAATGATATTTTTAAACCCAAATTATCTGGATAATTCCCTCCCTCTTTTTTCCATTTGTATACGGTGTAGAAACATATCATAATTAGTTCAGTTCTCTCATTTATTGCTTGTATATGAGCAAACATTTCCATGCTTGCAACTGGTCAAAAAATTTTTACTGCGCATTAGTCATGCCCCAGGGACTCCTAAAGTAAAATATGCGCAGGACAGGTAGAAATACAAAACAGATAGACGGTTCCCACTAACTCTGTGCATAACTAAACATACTCAGCTGCTTAGCAGGCACTGGCCAAGAATCCACGTCTTTGCCTAAACTGGGCCCTTTGCATATACTGTGTAGCACAAAACTCACCACCACCATGGTGATCTTCCAAACAGTTGAGAGATGTGGCCATGCCACAGGCCTACCTGGTGGTGCCACACAGAGAGCAGAGCCGGGGGTGTTTGAGGGTGGCAGCGGCCACTCAAATGGGCTACAGGAAGATCTAATCTGAGCTACAGCCACTTGGCCACTTGTGTTTTTTTTCTTTGTTTTGGGTTTTTTTGGGTTTTTTTTGTTGTTGGTTTTTTTTTTTTTTTGGTATTGAGGTCTCACCTGGCGATGCTTAAGAGTTATTCCTGACTATGAGATCAGGGATTACCTCCTGGTGGGTTTAGGGGGCCATAAGGAATGCACAAGATCAAACTAGGTTTTTCGCATGCAGGGCCAACACCCTACTGGCTGTACTATATCTCTGGCTCTTCCCCAGCCATTTATGCCAGAGAAGGGGCCACAGCGCTGAGTTACCCAAACCAAGTGTTCTGATGGGTCTAAATTTTCAGGGTGACTTGGGCAGAGATGTCACGGACTTTTACTGCTCCAGCTGTCTAATCATTGGTTTTTATTTTGTTTGCTTATAGGTTCCTTACCGGTATTTTCAGCCATTTGGCTTTGGGCCTCGTGGCTGTGCAGGGAAGTACATCGCCATGGTGATGATGAAAGTCATTCTCGTGACGTTGCTGAAGCGATTCCACGTGCAGACGATCCAAGGCAAGTGTGTGGAGAGCATGAAGAAATGCAACGACTTGTCCTTGCACCCTGATGAGACTGACAGCTTTCTGAAGATGATTTTTATCCCAAGAAACTAGACAGAGGACTCAAACCCCAAAGGGAGCCAGTCTGCCTCTCCTCTCAAGCATTTCTCATCAGTAGTTGACCAGGAAACCATCCAGCTTTGCCAGAAAGCATCATCCTCAGCGCAGCACTCTGGAGACAATGGGTTCAATGGGGACACTTTCTGGGGCGGGGCTCTCAGCAAGCCAGCAGCCAGCTCTACCTGTTCGAAACCGAGAACCAGACAGGAAGTGAAAAATGCTAAAGCCAAGAGTGGAGGGGTGGGGGGAGGGTGGTCCATGAAGAAGCAGCACCCCTGTTTTGTTCACAAAACAAAACAGGCTTTGGAAAAGTGAGACCATCAGCAGACTCAGTGTCCAGCTTCCTGTGGAACCCCTTTCTCCCCTCTCTCCCTCTCCCCCTCCACAATACACGCCACCCTGCCCAGGCCACATCAGTAGCAGAGGAAGGAACACTGGGTCAATGGTTTACAATGGCTAGGCCAATGTCTGGGCAATGGGACCAAACACCCTTACTACTTTGATTGGGATTTTAATGATTTAGGGTTGATATTCTTAGAGTCTTTGTGCAAATTCTTACAAATTCAGCACTTGATGCTGCCTAGGAATTCTATTCAGTTAAATTTTCTTTATCCCTGTGTGACTTGTCAGTGGGAAAATTAAACCAGCAGCTATATTCTTTCCCAGTTCCTCCAGCCCAGCCTCAGGGGCCACTGGTGTAGATTCAGGTAATTAGTACAAAGAAACTTAGTAAGAACCCAAGTAAAATATAATTAGGACGATACATATGCTCCAGAGGAGGGAGAGAAATCACAAAATCATTTCCCATTTGAATAATGATCCTTTGTTCTGTCCGTAGTTTTGCTTAGCTCCACTTAGTATGGTGGATCAAAAGCTAACTTGAAATAATGGCATCTCATCAGTACAACAGCCCCAGTGATCTGGGGTCGAAGGGGTCCTCGTAAGTAATTTCACATTTCCAGGAATATAGAAGGAGTGCTGCTGCCATTCCACTGACTTTCTCTCTTTCAGTATTGTCCCTTTGTTCTTTCAATGACCAGAAAAAGCCAAATACAGATCAGTAAAGAACATCAGTAGAGAATCACTGCCATCCTGTTAAATTCTACCTCAGAGCTTATGGATATGCTCAGTTGAGGTGTAAAAGATGCCTTGATGATGGAATTATTACACATAGCCATGGATAAGAAGGTACGAAATGGCATGAGCTCTCTAGAGGGAACCCAACAGCTGAGTCCTTTTTCCAAACACCACTTTACCTGTGCTGTTATAGCCACTATGACTGAATCTACCAAATGTCACTAAAAACTGTAAATCATTTGTAAGTGTGTTCCATTAAGCCAACCAGCATCTCAACAGAAGATGAAAAGTGCAAGCTCCTTGAATGCAGGAGCTCTTGTCTTTGGTAACCCATCCCCACCTCCCATTCCTTTCAGCATCCATCCTGACCCAACACTCTTATTGACAGACGCTCTCTGCTGGTCCCAGGGACCAAAGCAAGAAGTGGAAGGTACTGAAAGAATTCGAGGACAGGCATAAGTAAAGAAATAAATAGCTGATATAGGAGTTACTTGAATCATTTCTACAACCTTCTCAGAAATATTGCTGTGTATCCTGAAATTATCTGTAGTCAGGAACAGATAATCATCCAAATGATTCAGACCCAGACCCAGAAGATCCAGGTTCTAGATTTCACTGGATCCAAGTTTGATTACTTGATGATTATTAATACCGAATTGACTCTGCCTCTGGCAGGAGCTGCATAGTCGAGCAAAACAGGCTTTGGATCAGTGCACTTCACCTGTCCAATTGCCTTGGAACAGTTGCTATATTTTATGTATGTGTGTATATATGTGTGTGTACCACGGTCCACAGTCCACGGTCCTCCCATTGTTCATCGATTTGCTCGAGCGGGTCCAGTAACATTTCCTTCGTGAGACTTGTTGTTACTGTGTTTGGCATATTGAATACGTCACGGGTAGCTTGCCAGGCTCTGCCATGCGGGCGAGATACTCTCGGTAGCTTGCCGGGCTCTCCGAGAGGGGCAGAGGAATCGAACTCGACCATGTTGGCTGCGTGCAAGGGAAACGCCCTACCCGCTGTGCTATCACTCCAGCCCGTGTGTGTATACACATACATAAAATATAAAATGTATGTACATATGTATATGTATACAGTCAATGCTTTGTGTCCATGGTCAAAGTGAAGCCAGAAGGCCGATAGTGTTAGAAGTAATGCAGATCAAAAACATGCTGGGGAAATGAGAACTAGGGTGAAGAATGGGTGGCGCAAGTCAGGAAGATCCAGGCAAACTTCCCTAAAGTCAAATTGTCTAAATAATTTCAACTCTTCCTGGACTCCCTAACTGGGTGATGCCAGCCCTTCCCAGGGATGGGGGTTGCTGGGATGATTGGCTGGTAGTGTGCTTGGGTAAAAGTGGGTAGGGGGTTGTTTGCTAAATTAAAGAAGGTGGACTTCCCTGGGGTAGCAGGACTGCGGTAGGGGACAAGGCATGATATTTTTTTTTCTCTAAAAGGGGGCAGTAGTTGGGAACCACTGGTATAGACAAACCCCATATATAGACAAACCCCGAAGGTCTAGCTAAAAAGTTTGAAATATGTAAGAAAATAGAAGAAATGCATTGGTCTCTGCTCCCCATCCCCGACACGGAACTTCTAGAGCCTAGCAATGTCCTGGATGATGGGAATGCCTTGGACTCTTAGTTGGCACCTGGATGGGGGCTGGTCCCCGGAAAGAAGGAGCCTGATGAGAAGCTTGGATTGTCCAGCGTACCTCCCTCACATGCTCCTGAGGAGGCGAGGAGCTGAAGATGGACAATGGACGCAGGATAGCCCCACACTGGCTAGAGCCCCCATGGCAGCCCAGGGCATGGAGTTCGGAACAGCAGAGTCATCACGCCAATGAACAAGTCCCACTGGGAGGTGCCATGCCCCAACTCCCTGGACTGAAATTCCTGCACTCCCCAGGGAGCCTCCCAGAGCTCAGCTCCGGGTGAACCACTTCATCTACTTGCTCTCCTGCATCCCCTATGGTACCCCTGAATAAACTGGTGAACTTGAGTGTTTCCCTGAGTGTGTAAATCTGCTGAGGGCGAGGAGGGGGATCACAGAACCTTTGATGTGAGGCCAAATGTGACCCGAATAACTGGGCGGGGGAGGGGCTTCCACCAAATTTCCAGTGGTATCTGAAGTGGGTGGGGGATGGGGGGTGGGCAGTGTCATGGACTTAACCTGACCCTGTGGAACTGATTCCCCCCACCTCCCAGAAGAAGTTGTAACAGATCTGGCTTTAGCTGCAGGATACCCAGATGAAGTTGCAGAAAATTATGGGGATGTGGGGGTGGGGAGGAGGAGAGAGTGGGAAGCGGGGGTCCCTCTGAGCCTCTGGTGGCCAGAGTAGCAGCTGAAACTGTCCTAACAGAACAGTCAGACTGGGAGTCAGCCTGGGCGTCCAATCTAAGATGCCTGGAAAAAGGCAAGATGGCCAACAAACTCAATGAACTATTCCACTGAGTATAAAAATTATAAAATCGACCCCTAACCATGGCTCTAACTGAAACCCTAACCCTGATTGTAAGTCCCGTGCTCATCCTAGCTGCCCTAATTCTAACTGAACCTTACCTTCATTCCTAACCGTCAACCCTAACCATAACCCTAAGCCAAACAAGCACCGTAATTTAGCCGAAAACTGCCATCCTAACCCTAACCCAGATGGAAAAGGAAAGACGGAAAGATGCCCTTTGGGACGAAATGGTGGTTATGGTCAATGAACTATGCAAGGAAATGGAGGATAACCGGCAGATGGTTTCACTTAAATGTAGAATGTGAACCACTAAAGCAAACACACTAGCAAAAGTTATAAGTTCTCAACTCAAGGTTATTGGGGGGGGGGGTTGTGGAGGTGAGTGGGAGGAATAAGCAGAGGGTCTACCCTGAGGGTGGGAGACTATGACTCCTAAACACTGGGGTGGGGGTGTAGTTACACTCTTGAAACGCTATAACATCATAAACTAATGATACATCTGTAATGAGGGGAGGAATACCCACAGGGGACACAAAACCCACGGATCAGGGATGGCCCTGTGGCAGTCACACAAGGCTGTGCTTTCCTCTGAGCTTGTCTCTCTCTCCAATAAAGAACCCAATTCAACAAAAATAATGACAAGATTGACTCCTCCATAAAAGCGAAGGAGACGCAGAGGGAAATGTCATGAGAGAGGGAGCACATGCCCCCCCCCCTTGTGGTGAGGGGCCTGGAAGATTCTCAGCATCTCCTGCCCCCATCCACACTGCTAAGATAGTCCCGGGGGGGACGGGGTGGTCCCTAAGTGCTGAGGCATCAGGCCCACACCATCGACAGATGGAGCATTCCCAGAAATGACCCCAGACCGCCTTGAACCACTGGGAGGTCCCTGTACAAACATCGAGTAGAAACACACATTAATGAAGAAGTGAGTTTCCCTGTCCAGAATATATCCTTTACTTTTCATTAAAGAGCTAGACAGACCATCACACACCCTGTTCTCTCTTCAGAACTCTGCCACCTTGGGAAGTACCTGTCAGTTTGGAATGTGCTGCTGATTCTGGGTGGTGAGAAAATTAATTAATTTTGGGGGAGGGAGTCCTCCAAAGTGGTGCTCAGGAAGTCCAGGGACGCTACTGCAGAGTCTCAGCCCACTGGTCCCGAAAAGGCAGGTCAGCTCAGGCCTTGCAGTGCTGGATTACCCCAGTGGTGCTTGGAGACCATGTGGTGCTAGGACTTGAGCCCAGGTTGGACATGTGCCAGGCATGTGCCCTGATTGCAGTGCTATCTCCCAGCACCTGGGATGGGTCAATTCACAGTGAAATGCATGCCTGGCAGGGCACTGTCAGTGTCAGATTATATGGGCTATTTCACCCTTCCATCCTTCAGGGCACCTGACATCAGACTTTTCCTGGTTCCAGGTAGGAACTGATCCCATTCAGAAGGTGCCAGAGACTGAGAAAGTCTGGTTGGCAGTCTGCACTGTGCATTCAGGGTTCACACTCCAGGCAAGCATGTGCCAATGTGGAAG